AAAAAACTATTATTGAGATATGAAATAAATTAATTTCATATTGGCCATCATTCTATTTTAAGTTGACCCCATAGCAGTGACTTGATTGAGAGAGTTTTAGGTTTCACTTACTCATAGCGAGGCAAGTGTCCGGTGTGATGTCATTAGCCATAAGCAGGGCCTGCATGATGGCGAGCACGAGGAAGCCCACGAACAGGCATAGAAGATACGTGATCAGCACGCGTCCATGCAGGTTGCGCAACTCCGGCAGCCATAAGTACACGCTGACTGTTGCGAGGATGAACACGCAGGAGATCAGCATGCCTGCAAGAGAGAAAACAGCTTTATTCAATGCCTTAGACAACAGGCTATAGAAAAATGTTGTGTTATCTTACGTGGAATATTATTTAGTTGCAGTAGAGCGCTTTGTGCACATGGGATTTATCAACCTCAGGGTGACGGGCGCAGTAGCGGTGCACCTCAGATCTTTGCGATATCTGAGTGACATTGCAACTGCTATGGACACTACGTGTCGCTTACCACCAGGCGCACGATTTATTCGTTCCTTCATTTGCTATCATAAAAAAATGCCCAGTGTACATTATAATGGAAATATCGCATTGAAATTTAGTACTACTCCTATATATTCTATATGACTATAAGTTATCTAGATATATTTTTATACTAAATTGATATATGCGTGGGCTTGATAGATGTAATTATCAGGGATCGGAATATGTAGATTTTTTACCTTCGAGGAACATAGACAGAAAATGGAGACTGCCTTATCACAATATTTTTTAGGTTCGGGATTTGGGAAATCACTTAAGTACTTAAAAAATTGACGTATTTGGGGACAGGCAGGTATACTATATTTATCTTAACTTTGCGACACAGTGGGTCGAATCAGCGATATTGCGGACATTGAATTTTTTCACAATGCCTCTCTAAAAAAAATACCAATCGAGAGCTCCTATTGTCCTAATTAAATATTGTCATATCACATTTTGCCGTAAATGTAATAGTTTGGTAGGAAAAAAATAAAATGTGTATTTTTGTTATGGCACCATACCTTTAGTACCCCATCGTTACAAAGTCTTAGTCGAACCAGTCTTGGAATCACTACAGACGTAATATTAGACCTATCTTCTATAGATATGCACACTAAACGCGCGCCCACATCTACCTATTAATTTATATATTGTACATTTTCTGACGCGTATAAGTAGTGACACCTCACCTCACCTCCTAAAATGTATGCTCGCGTTGAAATACCTTAATAAACGTTTTTTCTTTCTTTCTTTGATGCAATTAGAGTAAACGTAAAAAGTATGTGACAATAGTAGGGGACACCGGGGCTGGAAGTTCCCGGGGTAAGTTGTTCCAACAGCGGTGTACGATAAACCTATTCAGGTTTTTGTTGTACCGCTATGTTTTAATTTTTAAGTTTTCTTTTGTGAAAATTTTAATAAATAAAAATAAATAAATAATAACTTTGTAATGAAAAGATATAGCAACACATGTGAATATCCATTCCAGATACTCCGGCGTCAAAGGAAGTGTGACTATGTGCGTGGAGTCAAAATATTACGTAAGTAAATTTTTTCTGTCTTTATTTATTATGGACCAATTCATAGGTAACTTTTCTAAATTGTAGTGACATTATT